GGAGGCGGCTAAAGTTGCAGATGTATTTTGACGAATGGCTTTGTATAGAGTTTTAGAAGACTTGCATACCTTTGAAAAATGACCAAGTGTAAGGGTCTTATTTTCAAGAAGACGTTGTCTTATCTGAGTATTACGTAAGCCGTTAATGAAGGCGTCCAAAATGTGTTGCTCTTGGGCCGCTAATGCCGTCATTGGGCAGAAGTTGCAAGATTATTTGAATGTAGAAAGACCCAGAAAAAATAATTTGTCTCCTATAATCAAACGAGAACCTATTAAAAACAAAATATATAACTGAATCATTTTGATATTGGGAAAAGTTGTTTGATCTGGTTTATTGCAAGTAGATTGTAATGAGAGTCAACACAAAATTTGAATTTTCATTTTATTTCTTTTAATCATTAGTTAGATTATTTATTAAGTTTATTTTATTTCATTGTGTAATGAAAAAAGTCAAGATGAGTTGACAAGTTCAAAGAGATTTCCTCGATCTTAATGATTCCTCATCTCATTCATACAACTATTAGGCAGAGAGTTTAACCGATCAGCCGGTCAAGACATGAACGACTAAGTAAAATGAATGAAGAATTGCCGGCAGCTGAAGACCTTTATGTCAAGGGGCTTTCCCCAAGGAAGAGACAAGCCTTGAAACACGTGACCTTTTAACCATAATATCACTTGCGAGACAGCATACCAAAAAAAATCAAACATCTTGACGCAAAAAAAAAAAAAAAAAAAAAAGACTTATTATGGTAAAAAGTTTTGGTAGCGTTATTTGTATTAAGCTTTTAAATTAAAAGCTTAATACAAATAACGCTACCAAAACTTTTTACCATAATAAATCTTAGTAAATCTAGTCTTAACTTAAAAACCTAATAACCGACCCCATGCGCTGCATGAAAGAATATTTAAAAAATTTTAAAATTAAAGAAAAAATGGAATAATTTTCCCTTCCCAATTGGAATGGAGTAAAACCTTACATATGGTACCTAAACATGATGTAGCTTACCGACCCATATTTGATTATAGACTATTGAATTCGATAACAAAACCTGAATGCTGCCCGATTCCAAATATAAAATTTCTGTCGTCTAAATTGCATAACAAAAAAATTTTTCTCGAAAATCGATCTGTCATCGGCATATCGCTAAATACCAGAGACACCGATGACATATGTAAAACAGCGATAACCACACCTTTCGGATTATACGATTACAATTATATGCCTTTCAGCTGGCAAAACGCATCCAGTACCCTCCAAAGGATGATGATTAGTATTTTTCGTGACGTCAAATGTACGTTCACTTACATTCTTATCTTCTTGGATGACAAGTATAGTCATTCTAAACACCTTGAGGAATTATTACAGAAACTCAATGAATATTACTTTAAAATCTCTCTTTCGAAATGTACATTTACTGTCAGCGAGATCGAGTTTCTAGGATTTCATATCTCAGTTGATGGACTTAAATCTATAACTAAAAATATTGACGAACTAACACAATTTCCTCAATCAAACAATTCTAAATCGCTATGTACATTTATCGGAATAGCGAATTTCTATAGAAAACTTGTATTAAATTTTCAGCAATATAATATTACCGCTGACAGAACGAATGCGTCTTGAACAAACATTTCAAATAATAACCCTTACTAAAGAAGAAATTAAATCTTTTGAAAATATAAAGGATTGTTTAACAATTGCAAACGTTTTTGCTTTCTCCGACTTGAACGCTACTTACTATCAGCTAGTGACAGATACTTCAAATTAAGTCGTAGGAGCAGCACTTCAACAAATGATTATGAATCAACCTATTCTTATTGGTTCCTTTTCAAAAAATTATCACAAACTCAATAAAAGTATTCCATGTTTGACAAAGAACTATTAGCTGCATACTTATCGGTGTTACATTTTAAACATTTAGTCAGTGGAAGGAAGAAATGTGCTTTTAATGACTGAGCATAAACCTCTTTACAGTGCTTTTAAAAGTCAGTCTTCATTAAAGTCCGATAGACAACAATGTCACCTCATTTTTATTAGCAAGTTCAAGTACGTTTACGATATATCTTACATAAAAGGCTCACAAAATGTAGTGGCCAATTATTTGCCACGACCTGCTTTGAAGTTTGAATGTTGCGCTTTGAGACCCCGGCTAGTATAAGTTAGGTATCGAAAAAAAATGAAGATTTTAAATTTTATTTTTTGATACTCATTTTGTTACTGATTCCTACGTAGATTGAGTCGTAGAAACAGATAAAATCCCTTCCAGTGGCATAGCTGCATGATAAATGCCTTAAATCAAAGTTTGAAGTTTGCGCTTGTTACAAGGTTATTACTAATTTGTTATTTTTACCAGATTATTTTTACTGCAATATTATTAGTGTCATCGTTACTACTGTTGTTACGCGATCATTATTGTTATCATTATTGCAATACTATTGGTATCGCTATTAGTACGAGATTATGAGTATTATTATTGCCAGATTGTATTACTGTTACAAT